TTTAAAGAAAACCCCTGGAACAAGTGACGCAGATATGAAAAACCTAAGGTGAGCAGGGGATGGCTTCAGAAATTTAGAAAAAGAAGTGGTATTCACAGTGTTGTGTGTTGTGAGTTAGTAGAGGAACACAGCGAAGAACTGACCACCGAAGAAATCCTAGCCCTTCACAAGGAGCAGCAATAAGAGGCAGCTGAGGAAATTTTTTCAGGGGAGGAGGAGGAGGCAATACAGAATGCCCCCTTCCTCAACAATTAAGAAGTGGTGTACACTATGGATAGAAATGCAAACATTTGTTGAAACAACTTACCCAGAGCAAGCTGTAGTAGGCTGTTGCTTTAACCTTTTTAATGACACTGTGATGCCTCACTGTAGACAAGTGTTACAATGTAGGGAAAAACAAGTCTCTATGGAAAGATTTTTAGGGAGAAAAACAAGCAGTGAGCTACAATCAGGTCCTAGTGGTATTCCTGCAAAACGTGAGAGAGAGAGTACCCCAGAGAAGTCGTCACTGCCTGATGTTATAATGGAAGGAGAGTCCCTATCCAAACACTAACACCTCTCCTCCTCCTCACCATCTTCCATAAGCCAACAAGAGTCATCAATAAAGGTAAGCTATAACTTGTACATACTATGGTACTAAATTTTTATGTGAATTAGGTATGAAATGTATTTTGAAGTAAATATTTTGGGGAGTGTGGAATGGATTAATTCATTTTACATTATTTATTATGGGAAAATTCGTTTCAGGTTGTGAATTTTTGGCTTGAGAACCGTCTCTGGGAACAGATTAAATTCGTAAATGGAGGGGCTACTGTATAGCACTTGAAATGGATATGAGGATAAAGATTTAAAATAGGACGGTGGAAAGGAATGGTATCCAACCACTTAGACGGTCGGGGATTGAATGTCGACCTGCAAGAAGCAAGGCTGCCGCTGTGCCATCCAGTCCACGTGGCTGGACTATTAACAAAGGAGGGTCATATAATTTACCTACTTCACAGTATTGTTTTCAATGCCCACTGAAGCTACTCCATGCTAAGATGCTGATTAGGAGTAAACAACAAAAGCATATCTATTATTAGCAATCAATAATTATGTCTACATTACTTTTACAGAAGAGACAAATACTTTTACTTTACTTTCCACATGAGAATTGTATAAATGAGTAATGGGCAACTGTATTTAGTTGGGAAGAAGAAGACAGTAGATAAAGCACGGTTACCTACTGTAGGAAAAGACATGACTTTAATGCAACTGTAAAGCTTTTACAGTTAAGCATCCCCCCCAAACAATACAAAATGCACATGTAAACATGAGTTAAAGAAAACCTATCAACAGGAAAACAACAGCTTTTCCATTAATTCTGGTTAACTACATACACATAATATGCCACATATTCTCACTCTTAATGTGTCTATGTGCTTCTTCCACTTTCTTAATTTTTTTACCCACTTGCTCTTTCCTTTGCCTTCAAGTATAAAAACACTGTGTTAGAAAACTGTTTTTAATGCAACCACTTGGCATCACGTATGCACAGTTGTTTACAAGTCTTCCACACAGGCTTATTTGCTATTTTCACATGATAGCAATTGTGTGTATGAACTTGTATAAATGTAATGTATGAACTTGTCATACAGTACATTTATGATTTACATCTATGTACATCACAAGTACATTTATTTACAGTACAGTGCTCATCTAGAATGTATAAAATAGACAAATGAGGTTATATGCTAACTCAGTCACTCCTAGAAGTGACTGAGTTTTGAGTTGCATACAACTCAAAACATATATTGTATACAATATACAACTCAGTTTTGAGTTGTATGTTATCACATGTCGTGCAGCTCTTTTCCCTTTTCTACTAGTGTACTGTACTGCCCACAATACGGGTATGGGGATACATAGTAAATAAACTAAAATAGCACTATCACATACTACAAGAGTAATTCCAAATTAAAAAATATATGCCTGTATATATGCTGTGTACAAAGCACTGTATAAGCCAAAAGATTTTAGGTCATGACTTACCATGCACATTGTCTGGTATTCATGAATTGTTACTACACTATCTATGCTCGGTAATCTGAATCATATGAGGCCCACCCCCATCTGAGTTAGCTGACTTTTTTTTACCAAAAATGTCAAAATGAAATAAATTCACATTTATTTGGGTTTTTCATTCGGCAGAAATTTCAGTAACCCAATTTTATATTCAAATTGAGAAATCAAGCTTTCAAACTCGTATTTATTTAGATTTCTCATTTGGCAGAAATTGCAGTAACTCTTATTTCTAGTCAAAATAAAAATTCACAACCAAATGCTTAAATTTATTCAGGTTTCTTGTTCTATATCTTTTAACCTGAATTGTTATTTTGGCTGAAATGTCAAAAAAGGTAAACTCAAACATGAATAGGCTTTCCCTATTCCTGTCTGTTGTCTGATATCCAACTGTTCGGAATACTCCTTGAGTCGCCAGCCTTTCTGGTTCCAACTTTCTAGGTAAGTGTTAGGCATCCTTTGAACTCCGTCCCAAGGAAGGTCCCATTTGATTGTGTAACGTTCTTGCTTTAATGATTGCTTGAAGTGCATGTGATACAAGCCTTGCTTGTTGTGTAGATTTCAGATACAGTTCACTTTGAGTTGCATGAGCTTAGAGCAGCCCTTTCCTAGGCCTCATTTGGGATGCTTCTGCCTTAACAATACATTCTCTGGTAGATTCAGGAGTTCGTCCAATAGAGGTTGATCTACTGTGTAGGCCAAGGGTCTGTGAGACTGAAACGAGGTTTTTGTTGATTAAAAGGTGCACTATGATTCGCACGCTTGTCCATAATGCACACCGTAAACTTGTTTATACTTATGTCTGAATTCAGCATCAGTTCTTTCATCAGTGTAGCTTGGCCTCCTCTGAAATTTGTCATTCTATGTCGACAGCCCTGCCAATTGAGCCATCCCTTCCCACCAGGGAATCCAAGCTTTTGATTTGGTGTAATTAGCAATGATTATTTAGCTTGGGATAATGCCTACCTCTCTGTTCTGCCATCATGTGAAGAACATGGCTCTGTTTTGTAGTCTTCATATGTGACTTCCAGAGCTTGGAATGAGCCCGAGGAGGGTTAATGGGTGTTCTTAAAGTCCTCTAGTTTTTGGTTCTGTCTGCAGAAGATATACTGCTCTGGATGGAGGACTTTACCTATACCATGTTCGAGTTTGATTCCTAAGCTGCTCCTTCCCAGGTTTGCTTACATGTACCAGTAGGGTCGCTCAGGTGTGTCATATTTCCAAAAGTTTCCATCATCTTGCCTTAATCCACCTTTGGATAGGTCAGACATATTTCGGTTCCTTCTGCAGAATCAGGACCTCACTGCCTTGATGGATCTTGCACCTCTTGAGTTCAGGTCAGCTTCAGTCTTTTGGTTGTGGTATGAAGTCCCTGATTCTTGCTGGCTTGTAGACAACACTTTGATTTCCTTGGAAGATTGGCATGGCTTTTGCTGCACCTGAATGCTTGAGTGACTAGAAGTGACCCATCTTTCTGGGTGTTCTTGGGCAGTGCTGCTGCTTTGCCACCACAGGATTGCTTGTTTGCTCCTGTTCTGCCCAAAGACATGGGCATGTGGCAGTTCCACATGCTGCTGCCTTTGCTTATTGAAACCCAGGCCACAGAGAATCACAGGTCCTGTGCTCAGTTGGTGGCCATTTTGTGCATCAAGGCTGCAGTCATGCAGTTCTCTGACCAGCTCAGGGGCAGCCTGAATGTATTGGCTTTGGTGCCAGGTGTTGTGGTCCTTTCATCTGTGGTCTTAGCATTGGTAGCCCTGCCAAGTTGCTTGTCCCTCTCCTTTGGGATGCAGTTGCACTTTTTCTGGCTGGTCTTGTGTGCTGGCAAGCCATTTTTGCTCAGGCTTTAGACTTGGCTTGATCTCAAACCCCCTATTGACTGTCTCCCCCTTTATGTGCTGCCTTTTTCCTGAGCCAGCTGTTTTTTTGTGCTTTCAGCTGAGGTTCTGTCCCTGCTGCTTGAAGGCATTCTTCCCATGTTAGGACCTCGTCTGTGGTTGGCTAGAATAGGCCTCCAGTGGAGCCTGGTTTGCTTGCCATTGTGCTTCCTCTGGTCTTTGCCACTTTCAATTGGTGCTGTTCTTGGGCATCACAGAAGAATGCTTCTGCTCAGGGTTTTCACGCTAGCGGTTTACCCCCTTTTGGCAACACTGTGGATGAATGCCTGACTTATTGCATTCATCCACATTGTTGTGGATGAATGCATTTTAGCTAGTTATCTGTATCATTTATAATTTTTGGTTACAATGAGACCTTTTGTTCTATCTAATAATGGTTTTAGTAAAAAATTACTCACTTACTGTATAGGGATTGAGCTTCAGCCTGCTAGATCCCACCTTTTAGTTATTAGTTGTCTGGTACGCATGTGCGTCCATGTGTGTGTGCATGCACGTGAGAGTTCATGCATGTATGCTGGATTTACAAACCTAGTGTTTGACTCACAGTATAGGAATTATTGGTGGGTGGGTGGGGCAAGGTTGAGCGTGCACACAGCTAGAGAAAGAAAATGGCTGGTGCAATGAAAGCCTGGTTAAAAAGAACAAAACAGGGAGGGAAGCACCTCAAGTGTTGCATGAGAGAGTAGATATTTAAAATCTTATGAACATATCTTAAAAGTCCATTACAGACATTTTTACCATACATGCCGAAATACATACCAATATGAGCATAGTATGCCGGATATGAGTCACAATGTGTCTGAAAATATGATGACCAAACCACACATCACAAGATGAGGAGACAAAGACAGTTCAGCCCTTCCTGGACCATTATCAAGTCGGTTGTGAGCATAGTATTACTGAACTTCTGATCATAGTATTAATGAATTTGATAAACAATAAAAATGTTTGTGGTATATTACATCACATGACTGCAGATTCAATTATCCAGTAATCCCGTTTTCTGGCTACTCAGAAGTGGTAATGAACCTGGACAGCAGGTATCACACTGTACTTTTATTAACTCAGGAGTATATACAGGCACCAAGATTGAAATAAAGATAAAGCAAGCTGATGATGTCTCCAATGATGCTAAATGCCACACAGTAGAATGTTGAAGGGCACTTCTCTTTTGACTGTAAAAATTGCGCTGGTAGCCAAAATCAGGATTAGGCTGTTATTGGTAACCTCTATCTTTGTACAGTACAAGTAACAATGTTCACACAGGACCTCTGTCCATCAAAATGTCACTCTATGCAGGAATACCAAATGTCAGCAATTATGCCTCCTTCAAATCCTCACACTAACACCTATTTTTAAGTTGAGTATTTTTTTACACAAATAAGGTACATTCCATTATTTTATAATGTGTACAATATGTAGATCAATACAGATAGTTGTGTCAGAACACTGATTCTAGCACATATTTCTTATGTTTTTCACTTAGGAAGAAAGTTGAAAAATTAACCAAGAATTAACTAAAATTAACCTTCCTTCCCAAGTGAAGACTATATGAAATAAAAAGAAAAGATTCATGCCAGAATCATGAATCTACACCTTTGTCATATTTAGTAACATGTATTCAAGTAAGATAGTTTAAAAAATATACTTTACATATATGTAAGTGTGTGTGTGCATATTCATTCACCATTTTGAGTCCTATACTGATTATTATAAATATGAAAAGGGGATTCTCTCTCTTAATAGAGAGAATAAAATATAATGTAATGTAATTGTGATGTAATGTATAATAATGTAATGTAAAATAATGTAATGTAATGAATGTAAATAAAAAACAAAAAAATAGGTCAACAAAAAATCAGCAAACCAATGTAAGGAAAATTTGTTGAAATTTTTTTAGTTGTACAGTGCGACTGTAATACACAAAACACCTTAGTAAGTACCACACAGTATTCCTTTTGTTTATCTTTGGTCACGTACTTAACTATCTTTCAAAAGCTAGCTGATTAAAAGGAAAGAAGAACCTAGCATTATGAAACTATTTTAGACTAAGATGTTATCAGATATACAGTGGCCTTAATATCATATCACTTGTTCACAACTACTGCATCACTATTTACATTCCCACTATTCACCATTGTGTAGAATTGAGAGCTTTGCATTCCCTGCACCACTGTACAGAGGTGTGTTGGGAACTCAGCAGTTGAAAGACTGAAAATTTTTTTTACGGAAGGTAAAAATTGCCTAATTTTCTTTATAAATATTTCTAAATTTTTTACCATACTCTGGGCTGATTTGTCTCAACCCCATGAAAGTAGGATACAGGGTAATGATAGTGGATGATTGGACAAAAATTTGAAATTCAGTAACAGTGTTATACAAAATTGAATAATGCTAACAAGAGGGAATCATGAAAGATATAAAACACTGCAATAACATATTCATTGTTTCTAAAAGCCATCATATAACAGCTAGCAGATATAAATTTATTTATATACAATAAGTAAAACAACAGATTATAAATGTCACTAGTTCACTTTTCATATCCAACCAGTAAATGAAGTTAATCCATGTATAATCTTTTTCAAACATGGACACTCACTCACAAAGTTGAAAGCCTAAAAAAATAGGTACAGAATTCACAATACAGTATATACATACATACATGAATTATACATACACATTCATAACCCCATTTTCAACTTTAATGGAGTGGGGCATAATATAGAAATGTATTTTAAATATAATTTGTTTAGATTTTAATTGTGTCTCCCTGAGAAGCCTCTGTTATGCGATTAATTGCTAATTGGGTATTAGCAATCTCAGTAAGCGCTCTATTAATTTCTTCTAACAATTTATCTCCTCGATCAATACCTCGCTGAAGTCTCTGAGCAGCTTCTTCCCCTTCCTGCTCCAATATACGCATGCTAGCTGTCTGTAAAGCACAACATACGTTAGATATGCATTACATATTTTCCTCATGCAATAATAATCCTACCATGAAATATGGTACAGGTAGCCTCCAGCTCATGAATGTGATGTTTTCTGAAAAATCTAGCTGGTAATCTAACTGGCAAAGGATGAGGGAACAAAAGGTAATGACATATGGGGAGCAAAGATTGGTGACCCATCTTCACCATCACTGGCAAGGGGACTTACTAATACCACTGGACATCACTCAAATATGAGTGATGTCCTTGATAATGCAGTAACATCTTCAAAACTCATTTTTAGCAAAATAAAAGGAGTTACCATTCACACCTTTTTCCTCATGCTCCGTGAATGAAGTATACTGAGAGAAAGCTGAAGTTCAACTTGTCATATGATGAATATCAAGCACAATCTGACTGTGCACAGTTGTATCCCAACTGCGGTTGGGTCAAGACATACCTGCTCCCAGGACTAGGGGTGAAATTTGTTTTGGTGTTTAGCTCAGTCTACACACAAGGAGACTTACTAATACCTACCATATACTACACATCTTGCACCATGCTGGGTGCTGAGATGAAGGATCGGACAACAGAGTAACTGGCTACTCCCCATGACAATTTAGACATGAACACAGTCTCCGAAACCAGCAAGTCAGTAGCGGAGAATAATTTTCAGGAAGTGTTAACGGGGAAAGAAGAAACGGAGAAGACAGGAGCTGAGGCAAAGTGTAGACAGTGATAGTGGGACTAACTGAAATGACAAGAGAATGAAGAACAATGCTGAGAATGATCAAACCAGTGTCCACAAAAGGAAAAAAACAAACTCAGGAACTTGCCCAGGAATGTGACAGCCAGCGGAAGTGGAGGCTTCTCTTCCCTACCTCGTGCACACTGACCTACCACCAGAAGCTTCTGTGAACAGTCAACTTCGTAAGAAAGCACTGCAAGTTAGAGCCACTACTGAAGGAAAGTGTGAACAGATCTTACTTAACGATAGGCTCTATGGAGGCTGTTATGTTTCTGACCAGCAAGGATATTGTGAAATTATTATGGAAACACCAGAGGAGAATGAGAAACTGACAAAGGTGATTATTTACAATTACCCTCATATACTAGACCCCGAATTCATCCTCGATGACCAACAATTTGTGTGGGCCAAGGCTGGGCCCACACAAAATTAAAGGCATTATTAAAGGTGAAGCTAGGAATCAGGTGGTTGCTTTGGTGAGAGGTGAAGTTCCCAAGAAAGTGTTCATCACCGGGTCAGGCTGCAGGCATGTAGCAAATTATGTGGAAGAGCCCATAATATGCCTGAAATGCTGCAGATGGGGACATAAATCTAGGAGCTGTTAATATGATCCACGATGTCGTTTCTGCGGAATTAAATTTCAAACTGACTGTGCAGTTTTTTCCACTTGTATTTTCAATATTTCTTTAGACATGACTACAGATGAACGAAAATGCATGAAACTCAAAATTAAGATATAACTATACAATTCTGTGATGACCAAACCACAACTCGGAAGATAGAGAAGGGGACGACATTTCGGTCCCGAAACCCTCAGACATTCAGGAGCCGGTAGTAGGGGAAAAAGGAGCAGGGCAAACCACGCCCACCCACCTGGTAAGGAAACAGGGGCGCGGAAGGAACCAAGGTTGAAACAACCAAAGCTCCTAAATCCTGGTTCCTAAAACCCAAGCGGGGCAGCTCCTCTCAAACAGGCAACCAGCCTGACTCGTTGCAGCAAGGAGAATCGAGCATGCAACACAACCGCTGCCTGATTGATCACTGTGAGCAACAGACAAGGAATGAGGAAAGTGAAGTACAAGTGGGGAACAAGGCCCACAAGACTCTGGATCAGTGGTGTCCCCAACCCAACAAGCAGCGTGACGGAGGTAGTACGGATGATCGTTTCCCTGAGGCAGGGACAATGAACAGCCGTCTACTTTGCACAAGCCGAGAGTGGGCTTTGAAAAAGTAGTCACTTTATGACCGAGCCCACGGGGGGTTTCCAGGGCCTGTAGGGTGAATTAGCCCTATGGGAAGCCCAGGTACAGTGGGACCTCGAGTGACGAGCAGCTCCACATACGAGCATTTCAAGTTACGAGCGAGCCACTTGCCGAAAATTTGTCTCGATTGATGAGCTTCCACTCCATTAACGAGAAAACCATGTGGTGCTTCCTAGCATGTTTCCTAGGTGCTTCCTAGCAGCTTCCTAGGTGCTTCCTTCGGAGCCGGTCGGCCGAGTGGACAGCACGCTGGACTTGTGATCCTGTGGTCCTGGGTTCGATCCCAGGCGCCGGCGAGAAACAATGGGCAGAGTTTCTTTCACCCTATGCCCCTGTTACCTAGCAGTAAAATAGGTACCTGGGTGTTAGTCAGCTGTCACGGGCTGCTTCCTGGGGGTGGAGGCCTGGTCGAGGACCGGGCCGCGGGGACACTAAAGCCCCGAAATCATCTCAAGATAACCTCAAGATAAGATGTTCCCGCTGGTTCTTGCAAATTCTCTGACACCTCCGACGGTGCAAATCAATTATTTTTTAAAAGATGCTAATGATGCTGGGTTATAAAGGGGTGACTTCTGTATGTTGCAAAGCATTCAGTTTTACTTAAAAAAAAAAAAAAAAAAAAAAGTGTACAAAATTTGAAAAACCACGTCGAATGTAATGAAACCCCATTTTCTGGGCGAGTCCCGGAGGCTCCCCAGAGCTATCCAGGCTGATAGGGATAGTCCTAACTTTTGGCATCAGTTGATGTGGGTGGAATTCTAGGCCTACCGGAGACCTCGGTCAGAACCTGGCCCCCCTCAGAGAGGCACGAGGAGCAATGGCCTATAGAAATGCACGTGTAATTTTGGAGCATTCTGTATCTGCCATCGATTGGGACAGGCACCCAGAAAGGTAAGTGCCTCAAAACAAACCCCTATTCTGGTAAAACTAACAAAAATAACGAAACAAATGGACAGAACTACCCCAAGGGAAAACGAGCAAACAAGCATTGAGTCACACGAGTCTGCGCAGCTCTCCCCTCCCTGGGAGAGGGAAGGGGAAAGCCCCAGACCCTCGCCCCAGCGATCCACACCTCTAGTTCCGAGGCTGGATATCAAAATACACGAAAACTGCCGACCAGAGGGAGGGAAGGAGGGTTGCCGGGGAGCCTCCGGCACTCAGCCAGAAAATGGCTTTTCATTACATTCAAAGCAGGTTTTCTGGGAGGGAGCCGCTACAGCTTCCCGGAGCTACCTCATAAAAGACTAAGGAAAAAAGGGGACTTACCCGGGAGGCGGTGGGTGCTCCACACCTCAACTCGAAGTTGAGACAGGCTGCAGCCACCAACCAAAAGCGACACAGGCCTGACTAGAACCAGAAACGTTCACGAATTTCAATGCAGCCAGGACCCTGTTCGACTGCCATAAACCCCGTGCCCAAATGTCAACCCAGGACATGTTCCCAAAAACGGCAGCAAGAGCAGTGAACATACGAAGGTCATAGGCACAGGGATAGACTGCATCCTGGCTAGACTTAATAACCCTGCTGACAACCTGAGAGACCCGTACCTGTGAACAGGGAAGAAGGGAAACCACAGAAGCTGTGGAGTGCAAATAATGGCAGAGGGCAGCAACCGGATACAAAACATGATGCACCCCCGGCCTGACCAACCAAGCATCAACAACCCAAGGACCCCTCTGGAAAGCAGCAGTCTCATTCTTTGCCAGAAAAGGAGGAGACGGCTGCAAACGAACAAACCTATCTCCACAACTGAAAGAGCATAAACCCCTGCGCGGGAGGAGAGCATGAAGCTCCCCAACCCGATCCCGAGGCCAATGCCAACAGGAAAAGAGGCTTTGAAAGACAATCCTAAACCGAAGAGGCCACAACAAACCGAGGAGAAGAAAGATAGAAGAGCACTCTGTCCAAAGACCAGGAAGGCTCAGGCGGCGCATGAGCAGGCCGGAGGTGAAACAACGCACGAGACAGCTTGCAAAATGGTGCAGAAGTAACATCTATACCTCAAGCAAGCTGAAGCGGCTCCGCTAGAGCCGCATGATACAAGGCGACAGTATTTGGCATAAGATGACGGTCCTGGAACAATCACCCAAACTGAAATCGAAGTACAACGATGAAGAGTCAAAAAGAAACGGAAGGACCACCAGGAAACTTCATACTGCCGCTGAGACGAGACGGGGGACACCATCAACGGAGATCACCTGATCACCATACAACTGGTGATAAACTCGAGTCAAAAATACCAAACGCGAAGACTTGAGGAGAGGAGCAAACCAGTCTTGTAATGGACAGGACCGATTTTCTGAAAGAGGCGGAGCCGCGGAAAACCTCCGGGTTCGGACACCGGGCAAGCAGTGCCTGAAACCACGGCTGGGCCGGCCACCATGGGGCTAAGAGGACAACTCGCCCCTGGTAAGTTTCAAAGCGAGCCAGGACCTGGAGCAACAGCTGAACCAGAGGAAAGAGGTACAGGAACCCCCCACCTCGACCAGTCCTGCCGAAACGCATCGATCCCAACAGCCTTGTGGTCGGGGAAGGGCGCCACATATACCGGAAGATGCCTCGACCATGCCGACACAAAGAGGTCCACCTCCAGGCGCCTGAACGTCTGTCAGAGTCCACTGAATGAGTCGGCGTCAACCGTCAATTTCATGGACAGGGGAACGAACTGGGACAGACCGTCCACCAGGATGTTGGACACCCCCTGTATGTGAACTGCCAGGAGAGCCAAACCCCAGAGAACTCAGCAGACGAGTCACCTGAAGTGACCAACCCCAAAGAGTCAATGACCTCATTGAACCCCCTCAGTTCAGGCAATGAACCACCGGGGAGCAGTCCGAATGGACCTGGATCGTCGATTCCCGGGCGACCCGCACCCTTCGAAGCGCAAACCACACTGCCGCAAACTCCCGCACCATGTTGTGGGCCCGATGGAAGGACGGACCCCACCATCCCTGGCCGGCCTTGGCGAGCACTGGTCACAAAACCCCAGCCGAGATACGACAAGTCCGTGAACACATCAAGCAAGGGCTTGGGTAGGCGCCAAGGCACTGAACCCCGAAAAACATGAAGAGGAAACCGGCGATGCAGCAGCTGACGTAAAGCCGTCTTAGAAACCTCTAAACCCTGCCCCGACTCCGAAGCCCTCACACGCTTAGGAGCCGGAAGCAGGGGGGAGGGGGGACGACCGAATGAAATCACAGCAGGGGAAGAACCAGGGGGTGCAAACAGAACCAAGGCCGAAGCGACCAACACCCCCAAGTTCGGGTCCCTAAAACAAAACAGGGCAGCCTCGGGGCATCCAAGGCAACCAACCTAGTGCACTGCAGCAACCTAAACCTATCCTGCAATGCGCAAGCTGCCTGCACCCGAATATCATCATCATTAGATTGGGTGAACTGAGTCACATACAAGCAACAAAGCTCGCAGGACTCTGGGTCGAATGTGTCACCGACCCAACAGGCAGCATGACGGAGGCAAAAACAATGAGCGTCGCCCTGAGACAAGGGGACAGAGCAACCCTCAAACTCGCAAAAAGCGAGAGGAGACTCGGGGGTCACATCCATTGGACCCGAGCGCCCCGTGGGGTTTTCCAGGGCCCCTAGACTGGGTCTGCTAAGGGTTATCCCAGGCAGGGTACTGCTAACCGGCACCCAAGCTACCAACCAACACTGCTAAAGCTGAACCCTCGGGACGTGTCCACTCACGAGGGCGAAGCAGGGGGGGTACCACCAAACACAAACAATCCTTATATAAAGGGGAGGGACACCAAGGCAGACCCCCCCCTGCCAGGCAAAAAGAAAAAGAAAAGAAAAACCTCGCAGAGGGAACAGAGCCAGCCACTGTTATAGGTGAAAATTAGCTGTGCAGTACTTCGTGCCCCTACCAATGCAAAAACTACCACTTACCCCAAGGCAAACAAGGGAAGAATCTCCCAAACACTCGGGGTGGTCAATCGCCAAGCAGTGAAAGACCAACAGAGGTAGACCCAAGGCGACTTGTGGAAGGTAACCCCAAGCCCTAGGGCAGTACTTACAGGGCACTTAGGGAAGTTAGCCCTAAGCACATGCAGCCCGAGTACCCTGGAATATGTCTCCCAGCTCGCACACCATCGATGAGAAGTACTGAACCCAGGCACAGCACAAAGAGAATCTGGAGTTGGAGTCACAACGACTTAGCCTTATCCCATCAGCTGAGGAAGTGGAGGTGTGGATCGCCGGTGCGAGGATCTGGGGCTCCCCATTCCGGGGAGGAGGGAGCTGCACAGACAGGCGGCGCGGCTCGTGACGTCATGCTTGTTTGCTTGTTTTCCCTTGGGGAGTTCTGTCCATTTGTTTCATTATTTTTGTTGGTTTTACCAAAATTGAGGTTTGTTTTGAGGCGCTTACCTTTCTGGGTGCCTGTCCCGGTCGATGGCAGATATAGAATGCTCCAAAATCACATGTGCATTTCTATAGGCCATTATTCCTCGTGTCTCTCTGAGGGGGCCAGGTTCTGGCCGTGGTCCCTGCTAGGCCTAGAATTTCACCCACATCAACTGATGCCAAAAGTTAGGACTATTCCTATCAGCCTAGATAGCTCCAGGGAGCCGTAAGGGCTTCCCCCCAGAAAAGGAATATCATATTTATGTTTTTCGGTGGTGGAACGAATTAATTTTATTTCCATTATTTTAAATGGGGAAATTTGTTTTGAAAGACGAGCGTTTCGCACGACGAGCTCGGTTCCGGAACAGATTAAATTCGTTAATCGAGGCTCCATTGTACTCAGGCCAGCCAAGTCGGTAGAATCCTGTCAGGTAGCAGGCAAACTGACCACCAGTAGCAGCTATGAAACCTTGGGGGCAACAGAAGAGAACTTCCAACACAACCTAGGCATGCCTAATAAAATGCAAAGCAGACCTCCTCTGTCTAAACATTGAGCAATTAAGTCCTCAAAAGGGAAGTGATTCCCGAATGCTCCAGGGAAGATAACCCTGACACGCAAGGGCAGTACTCGCGGAGCACCTAGGGAAGGTCTCCCTAGGCTCATGCTGCTCCTGTACTCTAAGAAACCTGGCCACCACACCACACACAGCTGAAACAGCCACACAGGGCAAAAATTCAGAACAGGAATTTGAGTCCAGAGGTGACTGATCTGACCACCAGCACATCAGTTCAAGAAGTGGAGTGGTGGGCTGTTGGATCTGGTGAGCCAGCTCCCCCTACCTGCTAACGAGGAAAAGTGCTAGTTGCATGAAGGGTTGCTTGTTTGGTTTCTTCTAGGGGAATTATTTTGATCTTTTGGGATGTAGGTTGCACAGGTTAAACAGACAGTGGTCTGTTTTGATTCACTTACCTTTCTGGGTCCTTTCCGGTCGATGGCAATTATGACATACTTTAAATGTAAAGTGCTTATAGGCTATTGCTTCCTGCGCCTCTCTGAGGGGACCAGGTTCTGGCTCACAGTTCCAAGGTAGGCATAAGAACCCCTGTGACTGATGATCCCAAATTAATATAGCACATATCAGTTCGGATAGCTTCAGGGAGCCGACGGGGTGTAACAGTTTAAGCTGTTTATATTTTAGATATAGGCTTGTATGAATGGTAATTGTATGGTATATCATGGGTGCAATCTAGTTTTGGAGCCAGAGTAAATTTTCTTCCTGGGAGGCAGAGGAAAGGTCGACGGTAATCCTTTCCAAACGATTAGTACTTGTGTGTGTATGCAAGTATGCCACAACACTTTGGGATGGCCTGGAAAAACCCTTCCATGGATTGCACTTGCTTAGAATAGATTAATAAACAAATCATTCTGGGTCACATTCTGGCAAGTGTAGCATAGTGTGTAGAATAGATTCTTAGACCTCCGTGTAAGTTATTTAAAAATGATAAGTAAAGTATTTTATAAAATTAGGTGGGGTACCATCATTTGATAATGAATTCATAGAAGGGGTAATTATATGATTTGGCAGAGGAGCAATGACTCATCTCAGGTCATAACAGTCATGCAGTTTGTAGCTTTCCAAACATGTTGATTTAAATAAAATCTGAATTATTCATGTTACTACTCAATATTGCATTTAACAGTTACCCTTGTTCAAGTACCCCATGCAATTTAACATCATTTGAGAATAAAGATTCAGTCCCTTAATTTGCCCAAGTGCAGATTAATTAGCTTCTGTAATGAACAATGGCAATTAAGAGTGGCCAGGTCAGGAGGCTTGGTAGCCTTGGTTGCAGGATAGGCAACCTAGGTCGGGACAGTGATTTGGGCAGCAATAGAGGAAGGTGGTCGGGCTACAACCACAGACAGGCCAGAACATCTTGGTCAAGTAAACAGATGGAAGGTAAAGTACCGTGATTGAGTTTTAGAATATTGTTTAAATCAAATTCATTGCCTCAAGGGTAGGAAATTATTAGTTAGGAAAGTGCATTTTATATGTTTGTGTGAATAAAGGAATTTAATGATTATGTGTTTAAACAATTTTCCCTTCAATTTATTTCCGAGTCCACGATCCTGATTTTGTGTTGTAAAATTCATGTGGTGCTACAAGCATCCTCATAGGTTAAAATATTCCCCCTCGTCTGGTTTAAGCTGCATTTAAAGTAATTCCATTCCCTCCCTAATAATAAGTGGGGATAAATATTCTCGGAATTTCTCCTGTTATTGACTGGTCATTCTCGCAGTCAATTAGCTTAATTACACAGGGGTAAATGAAGAGGTAGTGGCAGTGTGAAGGTACTTTTGAGTAAACCTGGTTATGATACAGATTATAAGTACTGTACTTGTAACTGGTAATCACAGTATTCTTGTACCAGTGGCACTCGGTGGTCAAACACCCAGTGGTACAAGACAGCCCTGGGGCTAAGGTTACAGTTCGAGCAATGATGAACAACAGCCGTTAACAAACGTCCAATTTGAGACAGAGTGAAGGGCTCATTTGGGTACGTTAAAATACGAACATTTTGGAAACGTTACAGGGGCTCCTCACAGAAAATAGCGTCTTCGATGCCAGGAAATATGGTATATCTTGACTGATTAAGAAAAAAATCTACACCAATCATCTTGGTGAAAAAACAAAAAGTATTTGATCTGAATAACTGAAAAATATTTAAAGTCAAGAAAAGCATCTACAAACTTTACTCATATTTTAAAATTAATTTTGCCCACATCACTTTGACCATTGTAGTGAGTAACACATCCCAACAACTATGAGCGTACATGTTTCTCTCACCTGAAGTTCAGCAGAAGAATCCTCTGATGGTAATGACTCAATTAGGACATCTATGTCTTTGGCATTTCGAGCAATCAAAGTTGCAAATACTCTCTTATGTTCTGTCATATCTGGAATGGAAATAGTATATCATCATTCTATCCCAATAATAAAATGCTATAATTAGTGTAAAATTACTTTTCACCTCAATTTCCTTAGATGCTATTACTGATAAAGGAAACAGTCTTCATTATTAGACAATTAAAACAAAATGGCAGATGCTTTTGTTGCCAGTCAGTAGTATTAAAATATAAATACTGTCAATATTATGTGTGAAACTAAGAAATTAACACTTTCGTGTTTTGGGCGAGCAAGCATTTCTCCTACCCTAGTGGTTTTGGACGTTCCGCGGGAGCGTGCGGTAATACTGAAAAGTGCAGACTCTTTTTCAACTTTGTCACCTTAATTCTCGTCCTAGGTTTTTAAATTTTGTATCAATGTGTTCGCAATAGAATGCTCTACAGAACTCGAAGCAAATAAACTCAAAAAGCCCTGCTTACCACCTGCAGCAAACAGAGAAAGTGAGAGAAAGTTACCCGGGAGCATACTAGAGCGATAAAATGTGTTCTCTCCTTTCACTTTGGTCACCTCAATTTTCGTCCTAGGTCTTTCATTTTGGTATTGTGTTTGCAATCAAATTCCCAACAGGAGTATATGCATATATTGTCAAAAACCGTGGAGCGCTCTACCTGCCGATGTGATGAAAGCAGGTGATGAGAGCAGGGAGGAGAGCCTGGCCGTCCATTAGAGAGCGCGGTAATACTGAGAAGTGTATACGTGTATACTCTTTTCAACTTTGTCACCGTAATTCTCATCCTAGGTTTTCCAATTTGATATCAATGTATTCGCAATAGAATTCTCCAGATGATTAAATGCATGATATTAAGCTGATATTAATAAAGTTTTCGACTGGGCATCAGAAAATAACATGATGTTTAACAGTGATAAATTCCAGGTACTCAGGTACGGTAAAAATGAGAACCTTAAACATAATACAGAGTACAAAACACAATCAAATGTACCCATAGTAGGAAAACAGCATGTAAAGGATTTGGGAATAATAATGTCTGACGACCTAACGTTTAAGGAGCATAACCAAGCAAATATTGCGACAGCCAGAAAAATGATAGGATGGATTACGAGAACTTTCAAATCCAGGGATCCCATCACAATGGTTGTACTCTTCAAGTCACTTGTGTTGTCCCGTCTTGAGTACTGCTCAGTACTCACTTCCCCCTTCAGAGCAGGAGAGATTGCCGAAATAGAGGGAATACAGAGAACATATACGGCACGCATAGACGCAATAAAGCACCTAAATTATTGGGATCGTCTCAAAGCCCTCCAAATGTACTCACTAGAAAGAAGACGAGAGAGATATCAAATAATATACACCTGGAAGATACTGGAGGGCCAAGTACCAAATCTACACAGTAAAATAACAACGTACTGGAGTGAACGACATGGAAGAAAATGTAGAATAGAACCAGTGAAGAGCAGAGGTGCCATAGGCACAATCAGAGAACACTGTATAAACATCAGAGGTCCGCGGTTGTTCAACGTCCTCCCAGCAAGCATAAGAAATATTGCCGGAACAACCGTGGACATTTTCAAGAGGAAACTAGATTTATTCCTCCAAGGAGTGCCGGACCAACCGGGCTGTGGTGGGTATGTGGGCCTGCGGGCCGCTCCAAGCAACAGCCTGGTGGACCAAACTCTCACAAGTCGAGTCTGGCCTCGGGCCGGGCTTGGGGAGTAGAAGAACTCCCAGAACCCCATCAACCAGGTATCAACCAGGCATGTGAAGTCTGAAAGCCTGAGGGCCTCCAAGTACCGAGCAGTAAGGCACACAGCGGAGGCAGATCCCAAGGTGACTTGTGGAAGGTGGCCCCAAGTCCCAAAGGCAGTGCTTACAGGGCACCTAGGAAAGGTGACCCTAGGCACATGTAGCCTGAGTACTGAAGAATATTACTCCTGGCTCGCACATCACCCGTAGAGACAGTCCACGCCACAAGGCACAGAATCTGAAATAATTGCAGGAGCCAGAGGCACAAGACTACGCCAGTAGCACATCAGCCAAGAACTGATGGGTGGATCACCAGTGCGAGGGTCTGGGGTTCCCCCTTTCCCTACTGGGGAGGGGGTGGGTTGTGCAGATATGGCGTTGCAATGTGATGACGTCATGCTCGTTTGCTAATTTTCGTTGGTTAGTTCTGTCCACTTGTTTGGCTTTCGGTAGCAATTTTCACCAGAATAGGGGGTTTGTTTTGGGATGCCTACCTTTTTGGGTGCCAGACCCAGTCGATGGCAGACAGAATGCTCCTAACCACACGCGGGTTTCTAAAGGCCATTGCTCCTTGTGCCTCTCTGAGGGGGCCAGGTTCTGGCTGTGGTCCCTGGTAGGCGAGAACTCCATGCACATTGACTGATGCCAGAAAGTTATACATATCCATATCAGCTATACAGTTTAGCTGGATACAGTAGCTCCGGGGAGCCAAAGGGGTTCACCCCAGAAATATTAGCAGTATTCTATATAAAATGTATTTTTAAGTTAATATTTTTGGGGTTGTGGAACGGATTAATTCAATTTACATTATATCTTATGGGAAAATTTGTTTTGGTCGATGAATTTTTGATTGACGGCATAATTCGTTTCTGGGAATGGATTATGATAGTAAACGAAGGTACCACTGTACTTGGCGATGGGAAAAACTGAGACCTTAAATGAAATACAGGGTACAAGACACAATCAGATCTATGCATAGTAGGAAAGTAACATGTAAAATATCTGGAAATAATCATGTCTGACAACCTAATGTTTAGTGAACATAACCAAGCAATATAGCATCACAGAAAAATTATAGGATGGATTATAAGAACCTATACATCCAGGGATCCTATCACAATGCTCATACTATTCAAATCACTTGCACTGTCCCACTTTGAGACTGCTCAATACTCCCTTTTCCCTTCAGAGTCGGAGATATTGCTGAAATAAAGGGAATACAGAGAACATATACATACATATACTAAGCATGAAGATGATAAAGCACCTCAACTATTGAGACCATCTCAAAGCTCTCTCAACGTACTCTCTGGAAAGGAGACAAGAAAGGTATGACATAATACATACATGGAAAATACTGGAGGGCCATGTCCCAAATTTGCACAGTAAAATATCAATGTGCTGAAGCAAACGATATGGCAGGAAATGCAAAATATGTCAGTGAAGAGTAGAAGTGCCATAGGCACAATCAAAGAACACTTTGAACATCAGAGTTCCACAGCTGTTCAATATCCTCCAACTATAAAAAATATTGCCAGAATGAAAGTGGACCCCAAAAAAAACTATACAGTTTCTTGCAAGAAGTGCTGGACCAATCAGGTTGTAGTGGAAATGTGGGGCTATGGGATGCTTAAAGCAAGTCTGTTGAACCAAGCTCTCAAAAGTCAAAGCTGCTTCCAGGCTAGGCTTGGAGAGTACAACTCCCAGAACCTCTTCTAGGAACAATCCAGGTCCAGGAATCACACAAACCACTTGGCAGAAGTGGTGATCCTCAGATAGCGGCAAACAGCCGCCACCAAACACAACAAATGATGCGCCCCTGGGTGGACTAAACAACAATCACCAAGGAAACCCCTCTGCAAGTAAGTTAACTCATTCTTCACCAGAAAAGGAGAAGGTTGCAAATGAACAAACCACCTAACAGAGCCAAGGGAACAACCTAACTACCCATGGAGAAAAAAACATAGGGACTTACCAGGGAAGTGGCAGAACCATAGGCAGTCAAGACGAAGACAAGAATCATGGCCGAGAGACTTGACCCAAGGCCATACAAGGAAGCCGAGGCCTGGGTACATTAACTAAATACCGGGTTGCCCTGTTAGACTGCCAAAATTCCCGCACCCAAATACTTTGGGACCGAACGTATTCAGCATACTTTTGAACATCATGGGCATTAGGGTAGACCACAGACTGACTAAACTTATTGACACTGCAGATGACCTTAGAAACACAAGCCTTAGAACAGGGATTTAAGGACACTGGATCCACCCACAGAGCATCAGCTAAAGCAGAATCAGTGACACAAAGGTAGCAGAGGAGAGCTGCCACTAGATACAACACATGATGCACTCTTGGCCAAACTAACCACCAATACTGTTCTAAGCTCACTAATCCGAACTATATGGGAAGGACACCCTGACTGGAAAAGCTAGACATCTGGATAACTAGAATTCTCACCAGGAACGCCCAAAAATTACCACATTCACAATTTTTTTTATACCACAACCAGTGTAATTCTAATTTAAACACACTTTATTAATTAAAAAATCAAATTTAAAACAGAAACTTCAGTTTACCTTGCTGTAGTTTGCCTTCTTTGTTTGATCTTGAAATGCATAGTTCTTGGTTCTTGGTTATTTAGATAAACAAGATTAGGTTATTAGATAACCAAGATTAGGTAAATAGATTAGGTTATTTACATAACCTAATCTCCAGTTATCTAGATTTCTATCCAGGTATGGTGAAGGTTTACCAGAAAATTATCCGGACGTGATTTTTGATGGGTAACCCAAATATTCGGCTCAACAGGCTTTGGGCAACCGAGGTCATACAGAAATGAGAGGACCCCTCTGGAAGCCAACAGACATGTTCTTCACTATAAAAGGAGTCTGCTGCAAATGAATGAAACACACACCAGAGCCAAAGAACAAAACCCTGCCTCTGGAGGAGTGCATGTTGTTCCCCCTATCCAACAACCGAAGGCAAGAGCTACCAAAAAGAGAGGCTTATAAATGGAATTCCAGACCGAAGGGAACAAAGTAAACCAAGAAGAGGACAGGAAAGAAAGAACACAGTACAGTATAAGGACAAAGCAGGCTCAAATGGCATATGAGCAGGCCACTTCAGGTGAAACAATACCCAAGACAGATTGCGGAACCGCCGGGCTTTTAGACTTTATATTTGCATATACTCCTGTAGGGAATTCTATTGCGAACACAATAATACCAAAATGAAAGACCTAGGACGGGAATTGAGATGTCCAAAGTGAAGAGAGTGAAGTGAAGAGAGAGCTCTTGCCCGCTCCCGGGTAAGACGCTCTCACTTTCTCGCCGGGCTTTTGGGCTTAATTTAGTCCTGTAGAGAATTCTATTGCAAACAAATTGATACCAAATTGAAAAACCTAGGATAAGAATTGAGATGACAAAGTTGAAAAGAGTACTGTAAACACTTTTCAGAATTACTGCACTCTCTAATGTAATGAGAGGCGCCTTGGGGTGGCACAGCTCTCTCTTTCTGGTAACCGCGGCCTGCTTTCATCATGTCGGCGGGTGGAGTGCGCTGCTGTTTTTGACATTATATGCATATGCTTCTGTTGGGAATTCTATTGCAAACACGTCGATAACAAAATGAAAGACCTAGGATGAGAATTGAGGTGACAAAACTGAAAAGTGTGTAAACATTTTATCGCTCTTGTGTGCTCCCGGGTAAATTTCTCTCAATTTCTGTTTGTTGTTGATGGTACACCAAACTTTTGGACTTTATATGCCTTTAGACCTGTAGAAAATTCTATTGCGAACACAATGATACCAAATTGAAAAACCTAGGACGAGAATTGAGGTAACAAAGTTGAAAAGAGTATACACTTTTCAGAATTACTGCGCACTCCTGCGGAATGCCCAAACCCACCCGGGGTAGTGTGGTGCATGCGCGCCCAGAGCATCAAAGTGTTAACAAGATAACGGGCAGCCAGGACCGTGTTCGACCTCCAAAACACCTGCGCCCGAATGTCAACCCAAGAAATGTTACCAAAGACCACAGCAAGAGCCACAAACTTCCACACATCATGAGCATGAGGGTAGACTCCAGGCTGGCTAGACTTGATAATCCTACAGACGACCTGAGAGACCCCGAGCCTATGAACAGGGAAAGAGGGACACCGGATCTACTCAAAGTGCATCCACGGATACAGAACCTATGGCACACAGATAGCGGAGGAGAGCCGCAACCAGACACAAACCATGATGCACCCCAGGCCTGACCAACAAAGCATCAATAACCCACTGACCCCTCTGGAAGCCCGCCATATCATTCTTCACCAGAAAGAAAAGAGAGAGACAGCTGCAAACGAACAAAATGCTCCCCAGGGCCAAAGGAGCAGAAACCTCTGAACTGGAGAAGAGCATGAAACTCCCCAACCCGACCCCCCAGAGGCCAAAGCCAACAAAAACAACACTTTCCTAAAGCAATCTTGAACCAAAGGGGCCACAACAAACCGAGGAGAGTTAAGAGAGTACATGATCCAAAGACCAGGATGGCTCAGGTGGTGCACGAGCTGGCCGGAGGTGGAAAAACGCACGAGAGAGCTTGCGGAACGGAGCAGAAGTGACATCCACCCCAAACGCAAGTTTGAGCGGCTCCACCAGCACTGCACGGTAAGAAGTGACAGTATTTGGCATAAGATACCAGTCCTGAAAAAAGCAGAAAGGACAAAATAACACAATCAAAAATGGAAGACAACCTACAAAGGGAAAGGAAATGGCCAAAAGAATGCCAAAATACCTTATACTGTTGCTGAGAAGAAGACCGCAGGTGGGACACCATCAGAGAAGCCACCTAATCACCATACAAATGGAGATACACTTGCGTTAAAAACACCAAACGCAAAGAACGGAATAATAGGGCAAACCAGCAAGGTACCTCGCTGGCCCGATCTGCTAAAAGAGGTGGAGCTGCAGAAAAACTCTTGGGTTCGAACACCGAGTAAGCAGCGCCTGAAATCAAGGCTCGGCCGACCACCATGGATCCAGGAGAACCACCCTGCCCCAAAAGGATTTGAGCTGAGCTAGAACCTGAAGCAACAGCTGGACCAGGGGAAAGAGGTCAAGGAACCCCCATCTTGACCAATCCTGCTGAAAAGCATCTACTGCAAAGGCTTTGCAGTTGGAGAAGGGGTGCGGTGCTTGTGGGTGACAATCACAAGGAAGGATGTCAGAGTAGTTAGGTTGAAATGCAACATATACAGTACAAGGCTAGAGGCGGAGCATAAAGAGCTAGACCTCACTCCCCCGAAGACACTAAGAAGTACTAATAGTTAAGTACATCACAGGTTGCTGGTTGGAACATATCAACACCCAGCAGGCAAAGGAGGCAGTAAAAATGGCCATCAGAATATAGCAAAACTGAGGCACACCCTTAAAACTCACACCATGAGGTGCAGAATCAGAGGGCTGATCCAAAATAGACCCCAAAAATTGCTAAAGAGCTTGCTGGGTCCCAAAGGACCAAGCAAGAAGCCCTGGGTATGGAGATTATTTGGCAAATATTGCATGGCCCCGGAACATAAACTGTGCAATATTTGGCAAATATCACATAATAAAACAAGCATACAAACACTCCAGGTGCAGTCATCAAAAATGTCTTGCAGAAGAGTCAAAAACCCTTGCACTGCTCAAGGTAAGGTTCCCTCTTCATGAAGGCTGGTACTCTCAGGCACAGCCACCAGGCTCTGCCAGGGAAGATAACCCTGGGTGGACAGAGGCTACACTGGTAAGCACCTAGAAATGGGAACTCTAGGCACAAGCAGCTCGAGGTAAACAGTTAATCAAACTTCACACAAGAAGTGATGCATAGACACACATGCATATGAAGCAAATACTAAAATACTTTATAAAACAAGTACACAAGCAAATGGCTCTCTGCAGGAAATTTCTACAGGGTTCCCTGAAATTCCAAGATGACTGTCAGTTATCTGAATTTTGTGAATTTGTTAGGTAAGATTTTCAGAGGACATTTGTTTAACTAATCTCTTTGTCACTGCTATTGAAACACTCATATTAATTTCTACTACTCGTCTACTACAGGCTGTCTTTGCAAGCATTTCAACAGTGCCATGCTTTGAGATGATAACATAAGATGGCATCCAAAGGAATTTTAAAGAAAGATAATGTACACTCTAAAGTATTAAAACTGTTAAAACTGAAAAGCATCACAGAGCATGCAGGTTGTTGGTAATGATGTGTATCAGTGCTATACTAATGATTCTGTAGAAGGTGGAAGATGTACTGGATGTGCATGTAATATATTTAAACAATCTTCTCTTGTACATACAGCAATAAAGTGTCAATGATTGGGCTAGTACAACTCAAGTAGAACTTGCAGGCATATACTTTGCCACTGAAATTTTTAAAAGACAAGAGGCAGTGGAACTGTTTTTGTCTTTTAAAAATACTGTGACTCGCAGAGTGCACTCCAGGCATTTTTGTAGCAACACCCAGAAAATAGTCAGTGACATTCGAATAAATGTTTTAGCTGCTAAAGAAAACAGATTTTAAATTAGATTCCTTTGGATACCATCACATGTTGGCATCTCGAAGAATAACACTTTTGACATGCTTGCAAATACTGCCTGTAGTAGAAATTAATACAGGTGTTTCACTAGCAGTGACAAAGAGAATATTTAAACAAATGTCTGATGAAAATCTTATTGACTTAAGAAATTCACAAAGACCTGAAAGCAGTACAATTAAACATTATGATAAAGATCGTGAGGAGACATTCATATATGGAACTAATACAGCAGGAACTCAGCAATGTTATGTTACACATTGATTACAGTGCTGAGTGACTATAACACTGGACTGTCTGGGGCATTGAGACCCTGGCATACCAATATTATATACAGTATAAGCCTAAATCTTTTAACTGTACATAGCACACATTTTGCCTGCAAATATATACAGTACAGTACATGAAATTCATTCATTTGTTGTTTATAAAAGTTTAATAGTTCCAAGCATGGCCACTCTGCACATTCAGACACTGGATGGCGATGCACCACACTTGGCCTGTATCTGTTCACAAAGGCCCTGGAAGGAAACTAGAGGACCCAAGAATTTTTCCAAATATGGCAAACAATTGACTGATACCGCTAATGTGAAATTATGTCCCCCTATGATGGGTGGGATCTTTTGAAGAAAATGGAGCACCTTAAATCATCTCCAGGTGATTGGAGCATATAGGCCAAATGGTCTCAAGCATCTGAGATAGTGTAAGGATTAAGTAGTAGTCTCTTATTGTGACAACACTTTTAAAAGGTTGTGTGTATCTCACCTTCACTGATATCTCTCACACAATACAGTATAATATACCATTATCAGAATATGAAGCCTGTCAGGCTAATTGAGATAGCCAAGGAAAGAGTAAGGTTGCTAACTGGTCATCTAATCCATTACAGGCCAAACTCAAAGATGCTTATCCAGCTAATTGAAAAATGTTCACATCATCCACTGTGCAATACTGTACTATTACCAATAATTCATAACATACATAAAACAGAATACTCACCATCAGGATTTTCATTTTGTGATGGAGTCTTGCCACTTTTGTCAAAGCTGCATGGCGGTGCTGAATTGAAGAGACATCCAATGCTGTTACATAGGTTCTCTGCTTGCTGAAAACAAATGTACTTTCAGAAAATTCAAAAGAAATAATATATTTGTAAAATGCTACCTATGTGGGTCTTTTGCTAGTGCAAAAAATAATTACTGTAATTGCAACAATTATTTTTTTACACGTGTTAAAATGCATTACACAAATTTGCATATACAGGTTCTGTATTACTGTACATAAACAATAATTTTCAGCATTCCTCTCAACTGGCTAAATACAAAATTACTTAATTTTACTTCAAATACTGTAACTAGTTTCTAACCAAAAATAATCTCACAGACTTTAACTAACCTTGTACTGTATATACAGTGGTACCTCGAATAACGAATTTAATCCATTCCGGCGCCGTCGTCGTCATGTGAAACGGACGTCATACAAAACGAATGTCCCCATTGACATTAATGGAAATCAAATTAATCCGTTCTACCACCGAAAAACATCCATATGATATTTGATGTTTTAAATATTGGAGAAGCCTACTGTACATACACTGAACAAACCTTCATGACATTTGTCTTTCTTCAAATTTGTTCAATATTTATTTTTCATTTGTCTTATAGCAAAAGGTTTGTTCGGTGGTCAACCGGTAGGCTGCTCCATGTTTCTTAAATAAAAAAATACGAAAATAATAAAAAAAATTAACACTTTCGCGCTCCATGGAAACTCACGGTTGACAGGGGGTAGGTAGCCCCTCCGTGTGGGTAAGCGCGCGGTGACACCCAAATGTATATATTCGTTCCAGCTTTCTCACCTTAATTCTCGTGCTACGTCGCTCGTTTTGGTATCATTGTGTTCGCAATTAAATTCTCTACAGGTGTGTATAAATATAATGTCCAAAAGCCTAGCGTGACTGCCAACAGCAAAGCGTAAAGTCGGCAAAAACGCACAAAATCAGTAACATGTGCATTCTCGTTCCATTTTTTTACCTTAATTCTCGTGCTACGTCGATCGTTTTGGTATCATTGTGTTCGCAATTAAATTCCCTACAGATGTGTATGAATAAAATGTACAAAAGGCTGGAGTGCCTCCCCGCAGAAAAGCCTACAGTTACCCGTGAACGAGCACCATTTTGTACATTGCAACCTAATGTTCAACTCGTTCAATTTGATAACATCAAATTTCGTGCTACGTCGCTCGTTTTGGTATCAAATTGTTCACAATAAAAAGGCGAGTATTTTAAAACTAGTCCCAGAATAATAGAGCAATAACTGGATTTTTAACAAATATTTTAATTCTTGACGCTCATCATCACAAATTTATTTATATCTTTCCAGTGTTCTGACATAAATATTTGTGTTGCATCTTTCATTTTGGTATCAAATTGTTTGCAATAAAAAGGCGCGCATTTTAAAACTAGTCCCAAGATAATAGGACAATAAATAGAATTTTAACAAATATTTTAATATTCGGACCATAGGCCTATTTATAATATTTCAAGTGTTTGGACATCAATTTTCATGTTATATCTTTGATTTTGGTATCAAATTGTGTGCAATCTAAAGGCGCTTATTTTAAAACCACTACCAGATTGATCTGATAAAATTTAAATTTTTAAAAAATATTTTAATGAGTGACTCAGTACTGCGTCGTTGGAACACATTCAGTAGAAAAATGAGTGACGAGATAGTCAGTCTGTGGAACCTCAAAGTGTTAAGAATTTTGAAAACCAGAACAAATGTCAAAAAGGTTTGTTCGGTGGTCTACAGGTAGGCTGCTCCATGTTTCTTAAATAAAAAAAACGAAATAAAAAAACAGTTGAAACAATTTGAAAAATGGACAAATGCCATAAAGGTTCGTTCAGTGTTTGACGGGTAGGCTGACTAATTAATTTGCCCCTCCTTACGAATTTTGCGAGTTACGATGTAAATTTCGTCGGAAAATGCGACTCAACTTACGACCGTGTCGTCGACTAACGACCTTTGTTGATATGCGTTTGGGTCAACCGAGCACGTGTTCCTGGTGGCCCGGCTGACCCCGCCTCAATTTACCAGAGCCATACGCTTAGTAACGATCGCGCTTGTAAAGAATTTCAGTATATTTGTGCTTTTTTATAGCAAAAATAATTATCATATATCATGCCATGGGTCCCAAGAAAGTCAGTGGTAAGGTTCAACCTGAGAAAACACATGTGAGGATGACCATAGAGAAAAAACAAGAGATAATTTGTGAACATGAAAATGGTATGAGGGTTGCTGATGTAGAGTAGAGGATGTCCCTTCCTCATCTATTAAGAAAATGTGTGCAGTATGGGAAGAATTTCAACATTTTGCTGAAAAGTGTCGCACAAAATAAAGCTGTAGCAGGCCGTTGTGTTAACCTTTTTAATGACAATATGATGTCTCACGTCAGAGAAGTGTTACAACGTAGGGAAAAACAAGAGTTGCTAGACAAGGGTTTTATTGAGAAAAACAAGCAGTGAGCCACAAGCAGGTCCTGGTGGTATGCAGGCAAAAAGTAGGAGAGAGAGAAAGTACCCCAGAAAAGTCATCACTGCCTGATGGTATATAATGGAAGAGGACCCCCTTTCCAAAGACTAACACCTCTCCTCCTTCTCACTGTCTTCCATATGCCAACAAGAGTCCTCATTCAAGGTGAGATATACATACTGTATTGTAGTGTTATTGAGTATAAAATGTATTTTTATGTTAATATTTTTTGAGGAATGGAACGGATTAATTCAATTTACATTATTTCTTATGGAAAAATTCATTCAACTTACGAATTTTCGACCTAGGACCCATCTCTGGGAACTGATTAAATTCATAAGTCGAGGCCCACTGTATATACAATATAAGTCACATAATTAAAACGGAATATTGTTGAGTTATCGCTGCTTTTTTGGCGGGAAAATCTCAAAAAAACAATTTTCAAATTTTTCTTGCACTAATTTGGTAGTTTTATCCAATTCTGATGAATTTTTCACACATTATATAAATCAGCTGGCTTTACAAAGCGTACAAAAAATATTATTGTTATTATATTATGCAATATATTTTTGTGTTAACCTTTCTACTGCATGTTAAACAGGGACGCTCCCACCATATCTGACCCTACTCTGCAAGTCAAATACAGACTGGAGGATAAACTGGAGGAATGGTCTAGAAAATGGCTGCTGAAGTTCAACTCTGGAAAGTGTAAGGTGATGAAATTAGGCGAAGGGAGCAGGAGGCTGAACACAAGGTATCATCTGGGAGGGGAAATCCTGCAAGAATCAAATAGAGAGAAGGATCTGGGGGTTGATATCACACCGAACCTGTCCCCAGAGGCCCACATCAAAAGAATATCATCAGCGGCATATGCTAGACTGGCCAACATAAGAACTGCCTTCAGAAACTTGTGTAAGGAATCTTTCAGAACCCTGTATACCACTTATGTAAGACCAATCCTGGAATATGCAGCTCCAGCCTGGAGTCCATACCTAGTTAAACACAAGACAAAGTTAGAGAAGATTCAGCGGTATGCCACCAGGCTCGTCCCGGAACTGAGAGGATTGAGCTACGAGGAAAGGCTAAAGGAGCTGAACCTCACATCCCTGGAAAACAGAAGAGTAAGGGGAGACATGATAACCACCTACAAAATTCTCAGGGGAATTGACAGGGTGGACAAAGACAAACTCTTCAGCACGGGTGGGACACGAACAAGGGGACACAGGTGGAAACTTAGTACCCAGATGAGCCACAGAGACGTTAGAAAGAACTTTTTCAGTGTCAGAGTAGTTAATAAATGGAATGCACTAGGAAGTGATGTGGTGGAGGCTGACTCCATACACAGTTTCAAATGTAGGTATGATAGAGCCCAGTAGGCTCAGGAATCTGTACACCAGTTGATTGACAGTTGAGAGGCGGGACCAAAGAGCCAAAGCTCAACCCCCGCAAGCACAATTAGGTGAGTACAATTAGGTGAGTACAGGCAACTCAGAGTACTGTGTATGATTTATAAGTCCTGAACATACATGGGGCTCACATTTGCTTTCTCAGGCCTCCAGTAATTTGACACCATTTTGGAAAAAAAATCATGGGTACTCCTCCTGGGTGTGAGGGGGGGGGGGCTGATTATTGAGAAGGCAACCATGGGTAATGCATGCTACAGCAGCTTACAGCATTGCCATGCAGCTTGTGCCCACAGCATTAATTAATATGAAGGAAATAAATAAATAACTGGGATTATTTTGCATTTGATAGTGTCAAAGATGATCCTGACTGTGACTAAGACTGTGTACAAGGTTTAGATTTCAGTGAACAAATTACTGGTTATGACGTTCACAGCGGAAGGTCGACATTCACAACACACAGCAGCGGTTTCGTGTATCTACACATCATGAAATGTGACCACATGTTCCGTAACAAAAAATTGTGGAAAATTATTAACATTCATGATTTAGAGGCATGAATCTGATGATAATAGTAGTGATGTGTTTAGATTTAGCAATGTGTATAGTATATTGCAGATGTTTTACTGTGTCGGGTTGAGTCGTATGCTGGCATTGTGCTGATAGCCTGTTGCTATGCTGTGCTTGGATTCCATTATACACCTACCAGAACTGCTTAGCAGTTCGTTATGGTGCATAAAAATTGTAGATGTATATAATGAGTGTATATACAGTAGTGTAATAGCAAAAAAATGACTTATTGTTCAAAGAATATAATGAGCACATATTACCCCAAATATATCTGTGCATACTATATTCTACAAATTCTGTGATATAAACAACATTATTGACAGCCCAATGCATCATTGCACATTAAAAATAATTGTAAAATATTAAAAATCCAAAGAAAATATAATATATTCAGTGCAAGCAGTTACAATTTCATGCAAAACATGCGGAGCTAAGCTGAACTCTGATAACTGATTACTTGGTTACAATATTACATTACAATATTTACTAACTTATACAGTATCAACAAGAGTTCATACATTCTTGTAAAGCCACTAGCATGCATAGCATTTCTGGCAGGTCCTTAACCCTTAAATTGCGCATTGCATCATATGATGCTTTGATCGACTTGCAGTAAATTGTGCATCGCATCATATGATGCTTTGGAGTACTACGCAAGATTTAAACGGCCCGCAGATACACGGGGTTCACCGCACCTTCATCAGGGCTCTTGTAAACAGATGCCATTTTTTTTAAAAATCGTGGGCCAAATTCCCGGGTGATAGGGGCTATTGAGGGAGCTACCAAGTCTGACGCACGCAGCATGAGCTCACAGCACTGCTGTTCAGCTTGTGACCACAGCATCGCCTAAAAATGCCATAATATACTTGTTCATGCTATTATGTAGCGATGATATTATTACAGAAGACTCCCGACTGTGATAAAACTGACCAGGGTTCTAAATATCACCATATGCAGGATTGTGGTGATATTTAGTGCTGTGCTCCACGGATTGAGGAGTAATGCTGTGGGAGGGGAGGGTAGTGGCGTTGTCTTCTGTGTGTGGCCACCTTTTATTGACGGCACTCACCATATCAGCTTAGTGGTTCGCTATGGTGAACACACATGTAGATACTTATATATAATGTGTGTATAGAGAGTATAAACAGCAAGAGGAGTAGGTTGGGAGCCGCCATTTTGGTGAGGGCGGTGGCGTCATCTGCACGACTTATCATGTTTACTGGTGACCACGATGGTCTTTGGACCATCGTGGTACCAGTTTACTTGTACAAGTATGGTGAATAAAACAGGTAGATATTTATATATAATGTGTGTGTATATAGCGTAATAACACCACAAACAGTATTGTTGGAGGAGAAATATTAGTGTGTCTGGCCTTGAGGGCAGCAGCCACCAACTGACTGTGTGAGTAGCTACGTCTTTGTGCCTTTACTCACCATACAAGCTTAGATGTACAGTTATGGTGAACAAAACATGTAAATACTTATATATAACATCTGTATATAAAAGCAAAAACAGTATGGTGGGAGGAGAATGGTAGCAAGTCAGGTGAGGTGAGGGAGGAAGGTTGTGGCAGCCAGTGGCGGGCTGCCACTGCCACTCAGCATACCAACTTAGTGGTTCGTTATGGTGAACACGAATGTAGATACTTATATATAGCGTCTGTATATACAGTAGTTAATAAAAGCAAAAACAGTATAGTGAGAGGAGAATGTGGGTGAGTCAGGTGACTTGAGGGAGGGAGTAAGTAGCAGCCAGTGGCGGGCTGCCACTGGCACTGCCACTCAGCATGCCAACTTAGTGGTTCGTTATGGTGAACACGAATGTAGGTACTTATATATAACGTCTGTACATAGTGAATAAAAGCAAAAACAGTATGGTGGGAGGAGAATGTGGGTGAGTGAGGTGTTGAGGGAGAGAGTGTGAGTGGCTGGCTGGTGTGTGGCGGTCACTCCTCGTTACTTTTTGACTCATAATAGCAACTTAGTGGTTCGTTATGGTGAACAAAACATGCAGATACTTATATATAACCTGTGAATATAGTGTAATAACCGACAAAGTATTTGTTCACTGTTTGATGAACATAATTGAATCAACATGTAACAACTCTTGTATATATCTCAAAAAAAAAAAAAAAAAAAAAAACAATATGCACACCATATTTTGAGTACAGCAATGATTCACTCATTTTATTATATAAATATATCACACTACACACTATTGAATAATATTACAGCAAAAAAACTACGAAAAATCAATCAGAGACATTGAAATAATTAGGTAATTATCTCTTTGTGGCAACTCCGGCCTGACAGCTGGCGAGCAACAGACCGCCTGGGACGCACGCTGAGTCAGCACCTGTTTTTTGCCAGACTTCCCCATCCTATAGCGGGCAATATATGCCACTTACGATTTTTTAAATATTTTTCCCATGATCAGTGAACACAAATTAGCAGGTTAGGAAGAAAAAATATATTTTTTTTTTGTATGTGCCTATGAGTGTCAAATGGTACATAGCCATGCGCCATTTAAGGGTTAATCCTAATTTTTCCCTAGAATAAGACCTGCCAAATCGTTTAACGACTGGGTACCCATTTACTGCTGGGTGAACAGAGGCTATAGTTAAGGATTTGCACTTAGTCAATCCTCTTCGGCCAGGATATGAACCCAGGCCAAAGCGCTCGCGAAGGGACTGCGCCACGGGGACTGCATAACATCAAAATCTGTATGTTTTATTGTTCTAAGCATATATATATTGTGTACATATTAGTGACACTAATATATTTGCACATTCCGATGTTATACACATTTTATTATGTAAATTTCTCAAATGATACACTAATGAATAATGTTACTGGAAAGACCAAAGAAAACAGAAATCAGACATTGTCTATATATATAAGTGCACGTTGTACTGAACGGGGTGAGAATAGCTTGAGCTACCTCATCCCTTTGTGTGTACAGTATTTTACCTCAATAAACTTATTTCAATTTCAATCAGACACTAAATAACTAAACATATTATTGCAGCAACTCCTGCCCCACAGCAGAGGTCGGCAGACCTTCATGGATCAAATGCTGATTGAACACTCATGAATCGAGTGACTTTTGGGCTTTGCCACGGCCAAAGAGAGAATTTTTTCTCCCAATATAAACGAATGCATTTTAACAATATTAGAAGGGGAGGGAACTATCAGGAGAAAGCGCATGCCAAGTCATTACGACTATATAGCAGTTGGAAGGGGTCAGGATGAGACTTTGATAAGGGACGGGCAGAAGGAATGGTGTCCAACCACTTGGAAGGTCAGGGATTGAACACCGACCTGCATGAAGTGGGACCGTTGCTCTACTGTCCAGCCCAAGTAGTTGGGATAACAATATTAGAAGAAAAAACAAAATAAAACAACAATTTTGGGAATTTTTTTTCTTGGTATTTAAACAGTGGCATGATGCTGAGGTTAGTTAAAACAAGAAAAAGGTATGATTCTTGATTTTTTTAATAATTATTAGGACATTAATTTATGTTAATTATACTATTTCTAGTCTGTATAATGATACCAAATAAATGACTTTACAATAATATTTGTTTAAAGAGAGTACAAAATAAGACAAAAAAATAAATATAATAATTAAGCTATTAATAATAACCAAGCTTATATTTTAGTCTAAATATCAAAGATTTATATATCTGAAACATGTTCAAGAGTGAACAAAGTATGGTACCCTGAAGACAGCGGTTATCGTCATATGTTGCTTCACGGGGTAATGTGGTTAGCATATGACAATTTAAACAATTATTGACTGGGTTTTACGTGTATGATGCAAATAAGGTTATAATAGCTCTTTGTAGATGCTGTAGATGTAATGGAGTTTACCTTGACCCATGAAATGATAGCAGGAAAAAATCCAGCTATCATGGTTAGGTTACTACATGAATGCAGTTATTGTCAATGTTATTAATGTGGTCACCACTATATCAAATTGCAACATAATTACATAATATGTATATCTGGCCTAGTGGGGAACTCGGTTAACCTAACAGACTTGAAAATCTAATTGAAAAACTGAGCTTACTGGCTGTAAATAACTCGCTTTCTTTTTAAACCACGAGGATGGCTGCAATGGCCTTGCAGCTGTTATAAACTGCATAACTAAACAATGGGTTGTGAATATTGCACATAACAGTTAAAAAGATAGGGTGAAATACCATTTCTATACTGCGCATTCGGCCTTAAAAAGCGCAGACACGTTGATGCACATTCAAAACATTGTGTTGACCCCTACTGCAGCCGCACTCAGTCTCGTAATACACAACATACTGCTCTCTTCGTCTCCAGTTTCATGACACTGTAAGCTACCTTCACTTGATCACCCCATGATGGAGTACAATATTATATTGGGGCTGCATAAAACAGCCAAAATTAGAACCCAGGACAAAATTACTGCAAGAACACGCTCTTCCTACTAGAGATGTCATTACTGCCACTGGTTTAAGAGCAAATACGGACCTAGAACGTATGCTCCCAACTACCCATGAAAGCGATGTAAACAACATTCAAATCCTTAAGGAGAATATAATAAATACCCGATTGACAGCATCCTGCAGCTGCGACAAGCGGTCCGCCATGATGGGTGTTGTGGTGGTGCTCTGGCCTGAGCCAATCAGCATCAAGGATCACAGTGATCACGCAAGGACTCCCTGTATAAATATTTACCTATTTTTGGTTGCAGTACACTAGCATATAAAAACTATTCAGCAATACTATTTCTTATTAATACAAAATTACTTGCATTGAACGTAATGATTATTTATTGTAACAGGCAATATATGTAATGAAGCTAACATACATTTTGAGTAAAAACGATTTCTGAGTGTAACTTATCCACCGCTGCCCATTAGATGAAGGGCTGTGTGCAGGACAAACATATTAATTCAAATTCAAATTCAAATATTTATTCAGGTAAAAATACATGCATAGGAAGATGAGTTACAAACATAATGTTGGATTTATAGGTAGAGCTAGTACATGCAATACCTAAAGCCACTGATACACACAGCGTTTCGGGCAAGGTGTTGGGAAAAAACACTTAGACTAAAATAAATAAATAAATAAATAAATGTTTATTCAGGTAAGGTACATACATACAAGAGATTTTACAAAAATTGATAGATTTATAGATAGAGCTAGTACATACAATGCCTAAAGCCACTATTACGCAAAGCGTTTCGGGCAGGAAAAGCATTAAAGACTAAAATGTAATACTAATTGAGTTTAAAGTATAAAATGGGTTGAGAACAAATAAAAATAAAAATAAAAAAGGGGAGAACATGGCTGAAAAAGCAGCACAAATACAATTAGGTCGACAAACAGCGTTGTTAAAAAAAAAACAGACATGGGTTGACAATATAGGGGTAAGGTAGGTTACTGGGAATTTATTAGGTAGTGCTTCGTTTTTATCTTAAACTGGTTGAGAGAGGTACAGTCTTTAACATGATTGGGAAGGTCATTCCACATTCTAGGTCCCTTGATTTGTAGAGCACTTCTAGTTTGATTAAGTCGTACTCTTGGAATATCAAAACTGTATTTGTTTCTGGTGTGGTGCTCATGGATTCTGTTACAACCTTCAATGAAGCTTTTGAGGTCAGGATTGGCATTACAGTTCAGCGTTTTATATATGTATAATACACATGAGAGAATGTGCAGTGACTTAATATCTAACATATTCAGAGATTTGAGTAGGGGTACCGATTAATGTCTGGGGCTAGAGTTGGATATTGTCCTAATAGCAGCTTTGTGTTGAGTAATTAGAGGACGTAAATTATTTTGGGTAGTAGAACCCAAGCACAAATACCAAAGTTGAGATATGGATAGATGATGGAGTAATAGACCGTCACCAGGGCAGGGCGGGGTACATAATGTCTGCCCGAAACGCATTGCGTAATAGTGGCTTTAGGCATTGTATGTACTAGCTCTATCTATATATTGATCCATTAATGTAACATCACTTGTATGTATGTACCTTACCTGAATAAACATATTTATTTTATTTATTTATTTAATATCTGATCTTAGAAAGAATGCCAACAGTTTTTGAAACTTTTTTGGATATATTTAGAATGTGTCCCTGGAAATTCAGCTTGTGGTCAATGAGAACGCCAAGGAATTTGCCATCTATTTTGTTACAAATTTGGGTATTGTTTATTCTGAGATTTATTTGATTAGAGGATTTATTGCCAAACAGAATATAGAGAGTTTTGTCAATGTTAAGGGTGAGTTTGTTGGCAGTTAGCCAAAGATGAACTTTATTTAGCTCAGTATTTACTGTGGCATTTAGAGCAAGGGGGTCGGGACTGGAGTAAATGAAGGTTGTGTCGTCAGCAAATAGAATTGGTTTGAGGTGGGGGGAGGTATTTGGAAGGTCATTAATGTAGATGAGAAAGAGGAGAGGGCCAAGTATGCTGCCCTGAGGAACACCGATGTTGAAGGGTATGGTGGGAGAAATTGAATTATTCACAGAAACATACTGGAGCCTGTCAGTAAGGTAAGATTTGAGGTATTGCAGGGAGTGTCCTCTGACTCCATAATGATGTAATTTAAGAAGAAGGTTTTGGTGGTTGAGTGTCAAAAGTCTTACGCAGGTCCACAAATAACGCAACAGGAAACTCATTTTTATCAAGAGTTGCATGAATCAAGTTAATCATACTAATAAGTGCATCGTTAGTGCTTTTTTTTTGTCTGAAGCCATATTGACAAGAGATAAGTATATTGTGTTTGGCTAGATAAGAGTAAAGCTGCTTGTAGATTAGTTTTTCAAATATTTTTGACAAGTTAGGCAGGATTGATATAGGTCTGTAGTTGTTAACATCTGTGAGATCACCACATTTGTGGACAGGCGTTACTCTCGCTTTTTTTTTTAGAATATCTGGAAAGGTTTGGAGTTCAAGTGACTTGTTGAAGAGCAATGCAATAGCAGGGGCTAAAGATCTGGAGGTTTTTTTGTAAATTAAATTTGGTATCTTCTCAAGGGCACTAGACTTGGTTTTAAGGGAGAGGATTATCTCATTAACGTCAGTGGAATTAGTAGGCTTTAGGTACAGAGACTGTGGATAGTTACCTGTAAGATAGTCCTTAACATCAGTACTGGAAGATGGAATATCATTTGCAAGGGATGACCCAATGGAAGAAAAAAACCTATTGAACTCAATAGCAGAATCAGAGGCTGAAAGTTGACCATCGTTATTGGACAGGAGTGTTGGTTTGTTATTTAAAATCTTCTTTGATCCCAATATTTGTGAAATTGTGCTCCAAGTTTTTTTAATGTTGCTCTTTATTTGGGTAAATTTATCTTCGTAGTATTTAGTTTTGGCTCGTCTAATTATTTTAGATAGCAATAACGAGTAATTCTTTGAGAATTCTTTGGAGACGGTTCCTAACCTATACTTCTTCTCAAGGTCATATTTTTTATTAATGGATTTAAGTATTCCCTTTGTAAGCCAAGGATTGTTAAGCCTTTTGGTTGTGACTTGTTTCGTAAGCATAGGACAGTGGGTTATAAAGGCTTAGAGTTTTTTTAAGAAAAGATTGCACTGCTAGGTTGATGTCCCCTATGTTACCTAACTCGGACTCCCAGTTGACATTAGCAGCAGCAGTTATAAAATTGTCTATAGCAGTTTCATTGTGCAGCTTAAAGCTTAACTCCCTTGTCTCTAGAGGTGGTTTGTTAATGTTAGTTAAGAGAAATGTGGGGTAATGGTCTGTAGTGCTATCGGTAATTATACCTAAAGTGAGCGGAGAGGTTATGTTGGTCCAGATGTGATCTAGAGTCGTGGCAGTACTATCAGTGATTCTAGTAGGTCTAGTGATTAAGGGTATGAGGAAGCAGGAATTCATACAGTTGAGGAAGCTAACAGCAGTAGGGTATTCAAGGCTCGCAGAGGTCAATATTAAAGTCCCCTGCGATAATTAGATGGTTTTTGTTCAGTCTGTTATCTAGTATTAGATTTCTAAGGTTTGAGTTGAATTCGGACACATCAGTGTTAGGAATTACATAGACAGACTCGGCACCCTTGACTCTGAAACTGGCGAAGATATACTCCCCACAGCAGTCTCTAGTTCTAATTACTTTTAAGCATGTTAGTTCTTGGTGGTAGTAAAGAGCAGTACCACCACCTCTCTGAATTTGACGACAGTTGTGAATTGCCGAGTAGTTAGGCATGTTAAAGAGTTGAGTAGTATCCTCTTTCAACCACTTGCAGTAAGTATAATAAAAGATAATTTGTTGTCAATAGTTTCAATCAAGGCACTAACATCATCGAAGTGTTTACCTAGGGATCTAACGTTCAAGTTGATCACAAAAATATTGTGATTATGTGTTAATACATTGTTTACATCATGTGCTGTAAAATATCTGCAATTTTGATCATTAAGGTGATGATTGTCATAGATAGTGGATAAGAGGTTTAGTTCTGGGTCTATACTTGTCTGCATAAAACGGCTGGTTGTAGGAAAACAAGGCAAGAATGGCAATTACAAAATAAAATTTTGATATAAAAGGGGGAAAAATATATAAACAAGACTACAAAACAAACACAAAATGAACAAAAAAAAAAAAAAGAAAAATGAGGTAGCTTACAAGTACTCTCAGGTACACTGTAAGTAATAATTTGCATTTTGAGACACAGACAAAGCCAGGGGTACAATGGAGTAGGGGAATATGGCGAGGCTAGGCAACCTAGGTAATAAATGAAATCAAAGAAAAAAGTTGAATAATTAACATAGGCAAATTTAAGCTAAATATTATTAACTATAAATAGTGTAGTTATGATCGTATAGTTAATAAGACCTAAAGAAATATTAAAGCACTCAGTTAATTAAGTCCAATAAACGACTAGTAAAAAGTAAATTAAAAATTAATTTAAAAAGTGAAACAAAGAGACTTAGGATACCTAGCCCGCACTAAGTGACAAGGGGGTTAATTATGTTGACTCATTGAGAGTGATAATAAGGTGAGACAAACCACATTGGGTGAGGAAAGTGTTGAGGTTATCCTCATTAGCAATTGTAAACATTTTACCTCCTGAAGTCTTTCTCACTTTAATCAAGCCATCTCTAACGAAGCACTGATGAATCGCATCTGGGTTTTGATGACGAATCTGACGCAGGCGGTAGAGGAGTTGCTGTCTTTTTCTAGTCAATCACTCGTTGATGTAGATTCCCTGTCGTTGGGATGCAGCTGTCCGGACAAGATGCGATTTCATGGACTGGGAAGCCAGCTTCAGGCGAATTTTCCGCTGGTTTTGTCCTGATGGATTCTTTTTGCCTACTCTGTAGGCAGCAATAATGTCTGTTTTGTTTAGAGTGACCTGCAATTCTTTTTTTAAGAGATCCTGAACTATTTCAATACACTTTTCACCTTCGCTTTCCACTGGAATATCTTGGGCCGACACAACTACAGAGTCAAGCAGCTTTTGCTGATCTTGTTCATCCTGGGTGACGGAACGTTGGGCGGATAATGTATTGATACATGCAGTCATTTTGTTGAGAGCTTCCTCTTGTTTTTTATGGCTTCATCAGATTTCAGACGAATGTTTTCCTCACGGAGATTATTCGTCATGCTGGAGTTGATCTTGGCTAATCCTAAAGTTTCTAATATCCTCGCGGAGGAGGGTTATTTCTTGTTGTTGTTGATGGAGG